TTTGGGATTGCACCTAAGGCTCCTATAACTATTGGTACTATCTTTGCTTTCTTTTGCCATTTCTTTTGCAATCCCAAAACAGCTGGAGCACCGCTTGACAAAATCACCATCAATCCATTTCCAAAGACAGCTTTATTTGGAATAGTTTCCATCCTGTGACGATACCTTTAACACCACCAAGCAACCACATCTGCCTATCCCAGGTCCTTGGGAAGGACTCGATAGTGGATGAAAGTGCCAAATCTAGTCTAAACATGTGGCTGACTATGCAACCAACGATGATGATGATGATGATGATGATGATGATGATGATGATGACGACAACAACTCAAGGCCACTCTTCCTGGCAGTTGGCCATCCAACCCTATGTAACGCTGTCTCACCGCTAACCACCTCACCTTCAGGACTAGGGACTGGTGTGAAGCTCTACAGAGACCCCAAAAGATTAATTAACCCCAATCAATCTTCCATCATTTATCAACCACCTGTTGACCCCCAGCTATTTATCAACCCATTGGATAGTTCCATCAACTCTTGGGAGTTGATACTGACCACTTTGGGGAATCTTGATCATCCCATCAGCCTATGATGATCACAGGGTGCTCTCTTGGGGTGGGGCAACGGTAGAAGGCAGCCATAGCTTCTTCACCTTCACACCTTTGCCTTAGCCCACTTGGGGTAGCCCCTGCCCCATTTTTCTGGGACTCAAGGTGGCTGTACCTGCGGCACCCCCTTAAACCAGCCCTGTTGGGAAAAGCTTTCTGGCTGAGATCTTGTAGTTCTGCCACCAGCCACTATAGCTAAGATTAGGTAGACAGGACCCCAACTTCTCTCGGTAGAAGCTGTCACATTTCAGTCTGAACTGGAAACAAGGACCCGAGAACACGCCTCTCAGAGTATTACTAATTATTTATTAGAAGGAAGGGAGGAAATAGAGCACAGTCAGACGTGTAAGATTCTGTGATTATGGCCATTCTCAATAAAAGTAGCATTAGCCTTCTTTTGGAGTTGATTTCCTGGTCTGGTCTACCTGGTGGGGCTGAGATCAGTCTTGCAAGTCTGATTGTGCTGTAACTCCTCCCCCTTATTGTATTTCCGTGAATTAGGGAGGTGTCTGTTTAAGCCTCTTTGGTATATTTTCTGTTTATTGTGGACTTTATGCTTCACCCCACATTGCTTTGGTAACGGATCTTACATATCTCTGTCCAGGTTATCTTCCTTATTCCTACAAAATAGGAGGCTAGGCTAGTAGCTGAACCCAGTTTCTGGGTACCCTTTGTCCCAGGATACTCTCCTCCTCAATAACATAAAGCCAGTGCACTTCCCAATCGCCCTGCACAATAACTGTATAAGCTCCCAAGAATTTCATCTTAGTTGAACAACTTAGGAAACCAAGCCATTGGTGTTTTGGAGGGCTGGCTCGCTCTTATTTCCAGCTACTCCATTGCCACGTGGATGAAAAATATCTCAGATTTTCTCTCTCCTTCCTTCCCCTTCATGGTCTACAGTGTCCGACCAATTGCCCACCTGGACTCAAGGGACCCCAAGGTTTACACGGGTTGAAGGTAAGGATTTCTCTGCTTCCCATCCTATTGTAGCTGCTTGGTTAGTGTTCATAGCCATACTACGGACTTTAGAATCTTGAAAAGTTTCTCTAGGCTAAGCATCCATGGATGCCGGACTGGCTAATCTTAATTAGCTCCCACCTCTGATTCTGCCTGCACTTTCAGTAATACAGATTAATATTTCCTGCTGTTCAAGAATTAGCAGAAAAACCCGGCTATATCATGTAGGAAACAAGCAAGGGGCATTGGTTAATTTTATTAGTATTGTATTGTGCAGGAGACAAAAATCAATGGAACCTTCTCCTTTTCGTGTAACTCTTTCTACCCTCTTTTGCTATTACTAGCCAATGGTCAGTTTCCACTCTGATTATAGGGGCACGGACTCACTTCCGCTGTATTTCTTCTATGATGATGATTGCTGTCCCCAATGCCATTCTGTGATTTGTCTGTTTCTTTGAGTAGAAACTATGCTGGCTTTTAGGTTTCCATCATTCAGTCCTAATTTCCACTCCTTTCAGATGCATTGCAAGGAACACTGCAGAACAGGCCAGCACTAGATATGCCCTCAGTGTTAAAAACATAGAGTAATAGAAAAAAATAACTGTATTTCTTTATTAGCTAGATTTCTATCTTACCCTTCCTCCCAAGAGCTCAAGGAAGCTTATATCATTACGTTAAACAAATACTCTAAATCTTGCAAGATCTCTGTGTTCTTACATGAAAGGATACAAGATTTCAGCCAGCTTTAATCTTGTTTTAAAAAGAGAAGTGGCATTGTGCTGTACTGGGTGATGGGCCCTCCTGCTTGAAAATGTTGCTGATCTTTGCTTTAAAAAATCTGAACCTTTTACATGTGTAGCTCAAGCCATACACCAATGGAAAACTTCTTCACCATTTGCTTGTGAGATGATACCCATTTCTGATTCAGGACACTTCCGTATTGCTAGTGTATACACAAAATAAGAGATAGGTTTTGTTTTGAGTTTGGAAGAAAACAGCCACACCCCAGAATACTCCATCAGAATTTTTCATAGGCTAGGTTCTTAATCCCCAGATTAAGGATTATGTGATGGGGTGTAGATACGAGGAGCAGAGTGATGTGGGAGATCAAGGCTGTCGGGAAGGAGGGGGCGCATTCCTGGAGGGGGGAGGAGGCAAGAGGCAGCTGAGTCCACAACAGAGCATGGGAAGCGAAAGAGGTTCAGGACGGCCACTCCCTAGAATCTCCCAGGGCATATCCACTAGTTGCTGTAGTATAGATTTAGTCTGGCAAGATTCTGTCTATAAGGTGTAAGCTAATAAAGGAACTGGACTGGATAGTTTCATCGTTGTTCTTGG